TCCTCAGTTCAAATCAGGATACAAAGAAGGTCCATGCCCTCCACCTGGCTGATCCACGCCTGGAGTTGATGCTAATCTAACAGTTCCCCTGCTCACCCCCAGTGGAGATGGTCAGCAAAGCTCAGGCCACCCACATGGCGGGCAACAGACTGTGAGTGGCCATAGTTCACGTCCCTGTTCTGTTAGCCAGGCTGTTTCTGGCAGAGCAAGGTTTCCCAGTGAACGGTGCTGCTGGTAAAGGTCTTTGTAAGAGCAGGGCTCATGCTTGGCCGTCTCCCTGGCTCGCAAAGCTTTTGAAAATAATGAGTTGGTCCCCAGCACCTCTCAAGGGGAGCTACGAGAGCTGTGTTCCGGTCTATTCACTGGGGATCACAAAAGGCTCAGTCCAGTGCAGAAAACGCTCGTCCGAAGGCCAGCTGTCCCTTCCCCCAGCGGCCTACACGGTGGAAGTCCCCCAGAGCCTCACAGCTCCTCTTCTCTGCAGCGACTAGGTGCCTGGGTCACCTGACCCCCGTGAAATTTGTCCAAAGGGAACAACTGTCTTTGAGAGGCAGGGGGAAGCAGTGTGGACTTTGGGGTTCTCGGGTGCCCCCTGATGTGGAGTTTCTCAGTGCCTTCCTGTGAGGACCCAGGAGGGACTGCAGCTAACTGTTCAAGACTCCTCAGAACATTTGTTTCACAGTCTGAGCACCAGGTTCTGTCCCCTCTGGGCAGTGAGCTCCAGGCCCACCATGGCCCCCGTGGGCACTGAGCCCCAGGTCCGCCCTGTCCCTTGTGGGCACTGAGCCCCGGGCCTGCCCTGTCCCCTGTGGGCACTGAGCCCCGGGCCCGCCATGCCACCTGTGGGCACTGACTGAACTTGTGCTGTGTTAGGTGCTGTTGAGTCCAGTATGACCCACAGAAACCCTGCGAACAAGTGCACCTTAGTCTCCAGACTGACATCGTTGCTCTTCAGTCCTCTAGAGAGGCACCTGGCAGCAGACTTCGCCACTGCAGTTCGTCTCTTGACTTCGTGGCTCCTGTGAGTCTTGATTCGATCACGTAACACACAGTAAACGCCAAGGCCGTGTTTCCTCATTACTGATCCTTCCTTTGTCCCAGCTTTTGACGTCTAATCACCAATAATTATCTAGGACTACTGACTGATGCTTGATCAATTTCAAACTGCAGAACTGGTAAAAATACTCAAGTTCTTCTTTTTTGGCATTAGAGTGGGATGTGTTAATTTAAATAGTCCTATTAACAGTCATGCTGGGTGCATGAGTATTAGCCTATTACTGACAACAATAACAGTATTGAAGGGTAGAAGGTAGATCTTGAAGTTTCTTTATGATGATAAATGTACTGCCTTTCCTCTTCACAGCAGACATAGCAGGTTCCACGACTGTCTGATACAAAACGGCCAGCACCTATTATTTCACCTCAGCAAATCTGCTATCAGGGACCTCTCCAGGGCACCGAGAAGCAACGATGTCAGTTTAGAGACAAGGCCATGGTCTTTGTGATTACTTGCTATGTATCAGAGAGATGGACAATGACTAAGGACGACAGAAGAATTGATGGCTTGAGTTGTGGTGCTGGAGAACATACCATGTCTTGAACCTACCATGCATGGACCACCAAGAAATCAAATAGGTCTCTCTTGGAAAGAGAGAAACCAAGTTTCTCTTTGGAAGCTAGAATTTTGAAGCTCTGTCTCTCATACTCTGGCCATGTGGCCAGGAGGGACAAGTACCTGAAGAAGGACATCATGCTTGGAAGAGTGGACGGACAGTGCAAGAGAGGAAGACCCTGGATGAGATGCATTGACACAGTTAATGGAGGTAGGTGGTAGGTGTGTCAGAGTCGGTGAGACTGGCTCAGGACACAGCAGGTTTCAGAGCTGCTGTACACAGGGTCGCTATGAGTCACAGGCAACTTGATGGCACACAACAACAACAATGTCTAGGATAGGGAGGCCTGGTGGCCTAGTGGTAAGAAGCTGCACTGCAATCTCAAAAGTATGCGGTTCAAAGTCACTAGCTGCTCCATAGGAGGACAGGCAATCTCTTCCCATGAGATCAGCTGCGCGTTGTTTCGTATGAGTCACCAGCACAGCACACAACACCGCCTACGATATTGATTGTTTTAGGTTTCATTTCACTTTCTTTACAACTTCCGGTTTCTGGTATACAAACATTCTACTTCGTATATTCCAAATCCTAATTACTAAAGGATGTTTGTAGCTATTTCTCCTCATTTTGAATCTTGCCACATCAGCAAATTTCATTCCTAAGAGCTTCACTCCATCGACGTCGTTAAGTTGCCCCAACCTTCCCCAACCCCACTCCGAGTCCCTCCTGCGCGCCGAGGGCTCACTGCCTCCCCCGCTGGGCACTGTCCCATGCATCCAGCAGGTCTTCACTGGCCGACCCCGGGCAAGCTGACCCCTAGGGAGGCCCTTCTACCTCCTCCTGCTATCTAGTTTCAACCCGGGAGCACTGTGAACACTGCCTGCTCTGGGGTCCTGCTGGGTTTGTGACAGCAGTGGCAGAACTTCCCGCCCCCCAACAACACACAAGCACAACACCATGAGCGGGGAGTGCAGCTCTCTTCTTCAGCACCCGCTGACCACGGCCGGGCGTCCCACCCACCAGCTGCCTGCAGTAGGAACCAAGGGCACTTAACAACTAGAACAGTAAAAGAAGGAACCTCTTCAGCTCGGCAGAAGGTGAAGCCGAGGACAGGACACAGGCACCTGGCAGGTCAGGCTTCCCAGGGGAGAGGAAGTCAACTCCTGGGCTTCCCCTCGGCTGACTGGGGAAGGCATGCGCACAGGAGAACCAGACACAACCTCCCGGCTTGCCCTCACTCCACTGCCTGTCAGAGCTCGCCCGAGCTGGTGCCCACGGGCCCTGGCAGCTAAGTGACATTCCTGCAGAGCAGCCCTCTGGGCCTCCCCGGTCACTGCAGCTCTAACAGGCGCGCTGCCCTTTCTGAGGCCAAGAATCACGCTCAACTCCAGCTCATTCCTGGTTCACCTGGAAACCACACACATGGCCCTGTGACAGGACAAACCTGCCCTCAGCCCAGGTGTTCTTATCTCAGCTGCACACCTGTGCGCAGACAGGGACCTGGCTGAGGCCCACACCAGCGCACTGGGTTGAAATAAAACCCTCACGTCTGGAGAAAGCGCAAATCCAAGCCTGCTGTCATTTGCTGTCAGGGGCCCATGGAGTTGACCCCCACTCCTAACGATCTACAGACAACACACTGAACACTGTGCTGTCCTGTCCTGTTCTGTCCTCACGACCTCAAGCGCACTGCTGCACCCATCGTGAGGGTGTCCTCGCGCGTCCTCCGACCCTCTTCCTGCCCCAGTGAGACGTCCCTGAGGCCTGGCCCCTCCTGGTGACACGCCCACGCTCGGGAGTTCACCACGCTCGCCTCTGAGGAGCCGCCTTCTGGCCAAGCGAGCATGAGACAGCCAATCCCCGTCCCCGACACTACAATTCAACAGCACTGACTCTGCACACTCTTCATTAACCACACACGTGAACAAGTGTCATCCTCGCCGAAACCACAAGGAAAGCAGAGCCTCGGACGGCCGTCCAGTTCCACCTGCCCTCGCCTTGGAGCCCAGGACAGGAGTGACCGTGAGCTCCCCGCCGGTGGCCAGGCGCCCTCATGGAGGGATGGGGCGCTTTCCAGGAAACGGCCTGGGTCACGAGACAGCCGTGTCCACGGAGGCACCGTGCAGACAGAGGTGTATCTTCAGAGAGGCCCAGCCTCATCGTCCACAGCTTTGGGCTCAAGGGCCATTAGGGAAGGCTGGCAAATGTGGACACTGGAGGCCCAGAAGGGACACGTGCACTGGGCCCAGGGCAGGGATGGAGGTTCCTGCCCAGGACCCAGGACAGGCGTGGTGGTGGATTAAGGAGTGGGCTGTGGGGAGTGTTGGGTACGACAGTGTCAGAGGTGGCCAGCCATCACTCTACGACCGCTGGTTGGAGGGGTCTTTCTGGGGTGGTGGCACTGTGACAGTGGCGCATGGAGGGTTAGGGTTTTTCCTGACATGGCCGAGAGGTCAGGAATAAGAGGCTCGCGCCTGGCCGAATGCTGAAACGAAAAGGAGCAAAGAGCACACACAGGGTCTGGTGAGCCATGGCTAGACGGGCTCTGCAGACCACGTGACCACGTGTCCAGCACATGTAAGCACACAGGACACTGGGCAGTGTGGGGGCACCCAGGACACTGGGGTGCAGGGACATGCAGGACGACACCAGGGCACCCAGGAAGATGCTGGGATACCCAGGGTGACTCCAGGGTGTGAGGGCATGTAGGACGATTCCAGGGCGCGGGGGCACGGAGGATGTGGGTGGGGCACATGTGGGACCACGTGGATGAATGGACAATGTGATACATGTGGGACACGTATACAGATCACGTACAAGGAACACATGCGCAGACCACGTGCTGGGGGCACGTGCAGACAGACCACGTGGTGGGGTGGGGTAGGCATATATGGACCATGTGCTGGGAGGCAAAAGGATACAGGGGAGTACATTTTTATGGACCACGTCCTGGGGGCACATGGTAGATGGGCCGTAGGTACAGAGCATGTGTTGGAGGGATGTGGACACGTGTATGAACCATGCACGTGCAGGGCAGCGGTGGGGTCACTACAAGCAGATGTATGGACACTGCCGGTCACAGGGAGCTTCTAAAACGAAAGGCAGGAATTCTTTCCACTCAGTAGCTGGGAAGCGACAAGGGTCAGCCTGGCCGGTGGCTCTCTGCCCTGGTGGGCCCAGCACTGCGCAGTAGGAGGTTCAGCAGAGGCTCAGGATGGACAGGCCTATTCCCTCCGTCCTCAGGGCAGCCCGACACCCAGTGCGTGCCAGTGAGATGCCCACCGATGCAAGGAGCGGAGCACTGAAGCTCAGGAAGCTCCCTCCCCGTATGCAATAGAGTAAACCCCCACCCCAGCGCAGCCCACGTGGACACTGGGGGCCACTTACCTGTGCTGGGCATGTGGTTCACGCGGGCAGGGCTGAGCAGCTCCACTGGCTGGTCCCGGCCAGACAGTCCGTCTGAGAGGCAAAAAAAAGCACTGCCTTTAGAGATGACTTGATTCTGTGCCAACAGTAGCCTCTAGGGGCCTGCCCGGGGACTTGGCCTCAGACACCACCCACGGACAATGTCCACAGCCAACACTCTTGCCAGCTCAGAGCATCCAGTGTGGAAGCTGACAGAGAGCGCCGTCCCCACTGATGCGGAGACTCCCACTTCCGACCCCGGGGCCCCTGGCCAAGCCCTGGGAGCTCTGTTCTGCACGGACCCCACCATGACTGCTGGGACAACAGTCTGCTCAAGTTGGTGGTTTGAATCCACCACTGTTCAGAGGGAGGGAGATGGGCAGTCTTTCCCCAGGAAGATGTCCAGCCTCGTAACCCAGTGGGTGGCCACAGGTCAGCATGGACTAGGAAGCAGTGGACTGGGTGCTGTGTGTCTGCCCGATGGGTTCAGAAAGCCCGTGTGTACATGCAGCTCAGCTCCAAAGACAAGAGAGGAGGCCCACACACGGAAAGCCGGCTGTGACGGCGGGTGCGTTCTTCCTCTCACGCGGAGGACCCTACAACAAGGAACAACTCCTTCCCTCGACATCAGCTGCTGACAGGGGAAGGGAACGGCTGTTGGCCGAGTCACTGTCGCTTTACTGTGGGGGTGTGCAGTCCTCAGGGACAAAGTCTCTGCAAACAAATCAAACCCCTTCTTCCTGACCGGCGTCCGCCCCCACAAGGCCTGCTCACACGGGCGATGAGGTTGGACATGGTGCACGCGGGCGCTGAGGTCATTTCCAGCAGCTCTGGAGGGCAACAGAGCGTGTGTCGGTCCTCTAGGCGATGGCACCCTGTGCCGTGACCACATGGCATGGTGGCACTGGGTACCAGGAGCCCTGCCCGGAGAAGGCGGACTGCCCACAGCTGCCTCATATGCATCACCAAGGACACCAGCCTGGTGCTGGCCAGCTGGGCATCCTGTCCCAAGAGTCAGCGCCACACCTAGATTCTGGCAACCACTGGGGGTAACAACACGGATTCCCAAGACCTATGGCACATCAGGGCTGACGGTCCTTGGGCTGAGGCCTCCCCACACTGTCAGCAGGGCTCTAAGGGAGCGCTGCCCACACTGGGGTGCCTGCCTGGATGTGAGGGCCCCCTTCCACGCACCGATCTTCAGGATGTACCTGGCTGTTCTTGTGGACACAGCCCACCCTGTGTGTCTCCCTGGCGTGCAGCAGGATCACGCGGGGCTGAACTGTGGGCTAGTGCGGTACAGCTCGATGAAAAAGCTGGATGGCACAGGAATGACCAGCACACGGCAGAGCTCGATGGAAGCAGGTGGACGGAGACCACCTGGACGCGAGGGGAGGAAGGCCTGGTGGTCTGCTCCCACTGGGCGGTGTGCTGTGTCTCTCGAGGCCACTGAGGCCCAGGTGATGCGGCAGTACCAACAACAACATCGTCTTGTTGACTGTGACACTGTTAAAAACACACCAGTGACGATGCAGGGAGCAGCCGGGGCTTTGCTTTAACCACGAGGAAGTAAAGGCGGGAGGGGCTGCGGACGCAGAGGCGGGCAGAGGCTGAGCCTGGGAGTGGGAGGCGCCTGTCTCTGCTTCTGTGTGTTTGAACATTTTGGTTCTAACCGCTCAGAGCTGTCAGCTGTCAGGACAAGCTCTCACTTCACATCAGGAGCATTTTCCTGGATTTGCATGTGTAAAACAACGCTGTGAGCAGCTCCCCTTCACCCACTTTGTCACCAGATCCAGTTCACCCTCAGCCCCACCTGGGCAGGCAACTGGGTGACCACCCCAGTGTGGACATGGCCAGGTGTGAGTGCATGTCTGGCCCCTGGCCCCAGCCCATCACCCAGGCACACCTCCTCTCACGTGACGCCTGCATGAGAATGCCAGCGGGTCCTCAGCACTGAGAAGTGCCCCGTTCTACTACTGGCCAATCTGTAGAATCTGTAATGAATGTCCTAGGACCATGCCTTGAAAGGTGACCTGCACACTCTCATCAGCTCTTTGGGGCAAAATGCTTGAAATACAGCTTGAAAGCTGAGCACCGAAATTCAGGCAGATGAGGGAGAAGGACTGGACAGCCACTTGTGACAACAGGTCACACGTAGGTTAGACTCAGGTTAGGCTGAGCCTTCGTACTGGGAATCACAGAGGAGGAGGAACGGTGCAAACAGACACTAGAAATTGGGACGTGGAATGGGACAGGTACGAGGCAGAAAAAGTGGAGATTGTTAAGGAAGCAATGGAACACATAAATATAGACATACTAGGCGCTAGCGAAATGCAACGGAATAGGCACGGGACATGGGAATCAATCATGATCTACTATGCTGGAAACGAAAAGGTGAGGGAAAAGGCGGTCACATTCATTAAAAAGACTATTTCCAGATCCATCTTGAAATACAAGGTTGTGAGTAACAGGATAATGTCCATACAGATACAAGGAGGCCGGTTAATAACACTACCATTCAAATGTAGCACCAACAACCAGAGCGAAGAGGAGGAAATAGATGACTTCTATCAACTGTTGCAATTGAAAAACAACAGAACATGCACCCAAGATCCACTATATAATGAGCAACTGGAATGCAAAAGCTGGGAACAGGGAAGAATGACTGGTAGTCAGGAAACATGGACTTGGTGACAGAAAAGAGGCTGGAGAAAGTGATAAGATTCCATACAATCAATGATTTATTCATTGCAAATACCTTTTAAAAGAAACACAAATGGCGACCATACACAGGGACATCACAGGAATCACACTGATTACATTTGTGGGGAAAATTATTGGAGAAGCTCAATGTCAGCTGTCAAAACTAGACCAGGAGCTGATTTCAATCTGAAGCTAATCAAATCAAATCCACAAGGACCAAAGTTTGACCTTGACTCTCTCCCTCCTGGATTTAAGGATCTTCTTAGGAGTTTGAGTCCTTGAGCACTGATGAACAAACACCAGAGGAGCTGTGGGAAGACATCAGTGCATCCGTGAAGAATGCAAAGGGGCATTACAAAACCAGAGGAAGAAGAAAAGACCAACATGGATGCAAGAAGAGACTCACTACAGAGCACCAAGAAGCAGTTAAGGAAATGAGGGGAAGATTCCAAAGGGCAGCGGGGAAGACAAAGCAAAATATAATGAAATGTGCCAAAGAGCTGAGCTGGAAAATCAAAACGGATGAACTCGCTCGGCACTTATTAAGCTGAAGGGACTGAAGAACAAATTCAAGCTTCAAGTTGCAATATTAAGGATGCTGTGAGCAGAATGTTGAATGACCCAAGAAGCATCAAAAGAAGATGGAAGAAGTACATGGTGTCACTATACCAAAAAGAATTGGCTGACACAGAAAAATCTCATCACACAACGTATGATCAAGCTCCAATAGTAATGAAGGAGGAAGTTCAAGCTGCTTTGAAGGATCTGACATAAAACAAGGGCCCCGGAATTGATGGCACACCAACTGACATATTTCAGCAAACAGATGCAGCCCTGGACAGGCTCACCAGTTTGTGCCAAGAAATCTAGAGGACAACTACCTGGCCAACTGAATAGAAGACATCTGTATTTATTCCCATTCCCAAAAAAAGGTGACCCGACAGAGTGCAGAAATTATCAAACAGTATCATTAATATCACATGCAATCAAGATCCTGCTTAAGAGTATCCAAAAACGACTGGAGCAGCATGTCAACAGAGAACTGCCAAATGTGCAGGCTGGGTTTAGAAGAGGCCATGGTACTAGGGATATTATAGCTAATGCTAAATGGATTTTGGCTGAAAGCAGAGAATACCAGAAGAATGTCTATCTGTGTTTCATTGACTATTGCAAAAGGCATTTGACTGTGTGGATCACAACAAACTGTGGCTGACTCTGAGAAGAATGGGAATCCCAGAATACGAATTGTTCTTATGTGAAGCCTATACTTGGACCAGGAGGCAGTCGTCAGAACAGAGCAAGGAAACACTGCATGGTTCAAAATCAGGAAAGTTGTCTTTTGCCTATTTTGTAATTGGGTTTTCAGTCTTTTTTTTGTGTGGAGGCCCAGGAGTATTCTGTAAACATTTGTTAAAAGACTTGTCTGAGATGGTATTACCAAATGTTTGTTCCCAGTCTGTAGGTTTTCTTTTCACCCTGTTGGAAAAAAATGTTTGATGGACACATGGCTTAATCTTTAGAAGGTCCCATGCATCAATTTTATCCTCTTCAGATTGTACATTTCTGGTTGTTTTATGCCAGGGATGTATCCTCTCTCCATACCTTTACAATATATATGTAGAAGAGATCATCCCAGAGGCTGGGTCTATGAGGAGGAATGTGGCATCAGGATTGGAGGTAGACTCATCAACAACCTGTGTTAAGCAGATCGCACAACTTTGCTTGCTGAAACTGAGGAGGACCTGAGGCGTTTGCTGCTGTCTTCAATATGTGCTGAAGCTCAACATCAAGAAAACAAAGATTCTCACCGCTGGGAAGCAATCATGATCGACTGGCTGCATCATGATGGACGGTGAAGAGATTGAGACTGTTAACAGCCTCAGCTTGCCTGGCTCCACAATCAACACTCTTGGCATCAGCAGCCACGAAATCAAAAGGTGATTTGTACTTGGAAAATCTGCTGCCGGGGACCTCTCCAGGGTACTGAAGAGCAACGATGTCAGTCTAGAGACAAAGGTGCGCCTGATCCAGGCTATGGTCTTCACAATTACTTTCTATGCACCAGAGAGCTGGACAGTGACTAAAGATGATAGAAGAAGAATTGATACCTTTGAGTTCTGGTGCTGGAGAAGAGTACTGAACATGTGGAATGCCAAGAGAACAAACATGTCAGGTGAAACCAGGCTGCTCCTTGGAGGCAAGGATTTTGTAGGTCCATCTCACATACTTGGGCACGTGGCCAGGAGGGACTAGTCCATGGAGAAGTCATGCTTGAAGGGTGGAGGGACAGCACATGGGAGGAAGACCTCGGATGAGGTGGATTGACACAGTAACTGCGGTAAGGAGGT